ATCATATACATCAATATAATACCTATACACATAGATAATATAAATAAATTATGTATAACATATACATGTATATATTGTATAATACATATATATATATGTATAAATTATATATAATGTATTATTATGTAATATATATAATATATATTAATACATCTGATATCAATATAGTATATATTATATTATACATACTTATATCACACACATACATATTATGCCTATTACACACATAGAATATTATATATGTATATATATATGTTATATATATACGTATGTATATGTATTATATATAGATAAGACAATTATACATATAATATACATAAGAGAAATACTATATAGTATATATATTACTGATCAAGTATATAGCTAAGTGATCCCATCATATACTATAATATACATACTATATTATATCTATGTTAATAGCTTATATGGTACGGTTGTATAATTAGCTTGAGATATAATAATATATGTAATAAGCTATCATATGATATATAGTACCTGTACTAACTATGGTAATATATATACTATATATATGTATATATATGTATAATATATATATATATACTATATCTATATAGTATATTATGTATGAATATTTTATCAGGTGTATAATTATATATATATTAATTATAAACTATATACTTATAATATATATACTTATATATATATATATTACTATATATATACTACAGCATACTACTGTACCTATCCTAGATATATATACTATTGTATATATAACTATGTATGTATATATATATAACTAATTATACTATATATATACTCTAATATGAGTAAGCGTATACTATTAATACCCCTATTATATAGTATACCTGTGTGTGTGTGTGTGTGTGTATGTGTGTGTGCTGTGTTGGTGTGTGTGTGGTTGTGTGTGTATACATAACTATATACTAAAGTATATATATGATATAGTAGTATAAATAGATATATTATCACTAGTCCCTACCATAATATATATATATAAAGATACGAAATAGTAACGCTACTATATATATTATTAATTATATACCCATATATTAATATAATATATGTTATATTTAAAAGTATATAATATATATATATATATAGTAATTACTATATATATATATATGTATATATAGACCATCATATAATATACCTATACATATATACATTAGTTAACTATACTATAACTATATATATACTAAAGTATATAGTATATATATATATATTTATATATATTTAAATGTATTTTTTATACATATAATACATGACTCATATATATATGTATACTACTATATATATATAAGAATATATTATATTTATAATATAGTAAGTATAATATAATTAACACATGTAATAGCTTTTTTATGCATATATATATCATACCATATAAGACAATACATAAATAAATAACAATATAGTACTATATAATATATATAGTATATATACTAGTATGTATACTTATAATATATTCATACAGTATATATTGTATTTATTTATATATCTAATGTTAATTCTATATATGATATCATAATATACTGTGTGACTTAGTGGGAGTACATAATATATATTATATGATAAACTATAATGTAATATGATAATTCCGCTATAATACATAATATTACGCATATATATACATATTATCATTATAGATCTTATATATCACTATAGA